AGGTACAATGTTATATTGTTAAACGATTTTCACAATTTCAGTATACTAAATAATAACACATTTTAACATTGATGTGTTCCATCGACTTACTAAAAATGAAAATGTTGTTACTTGCGTAGGAAAGAATTTATAATTCTGCCCCTCCATATTATCTCCTGACCACGCCACTTCATATTATCATAAATTTTGTCGAGGCGTAACGTAAACGGTGTACTGTGCAACAAACTAGATTTTTGAAGAGAACGAACGAAACCGATTGTGTGTTGACTGCTCGTGGCTTTCGAAAATAATTCCCGGCTACGCGCTACGGTTTCCGACCGGACGGCTAGTTTTTTTTTCTCTCAGCAAACCGCCCGTAACCACCTACCGCGTGTAATATTATCGTAAACCGTACGCGCGCATTGTTTGCGCACGTCACTCGACGGCGGCAAAACTTGTGCGCGACAAAAGTTCGGAGTCAAACGAATTGATAAAACACCACAGTGGGGGGAGGGGTCTGGTCGCGCCGGCCGTAAGGGTTTGCGCGGTGGATTCGACGACAATGGGGTAGCAACGGCCCACCACTGCATTACGGCGAAATTCCCCGCCGTCGCTATTACGTTACATTAGTTACGGACTGTCGAGCCAGATAAACGACGTTCGTTAGCGGATCCTGCACCATCGTGTACATACATACGTGTACGTGTGTGTGTGTGTGTGTGTGTGTGTGCGTGTATGTGTGAGGTGTGTATGTGGTGAGAGAGATAGATAGAGGGAGAGAGAGAGAGAGAGAGAGAGAGAAAGAGAGAGAGAGAGAGAGTGCGTGTATAACGTACTCGTGTTGTGTCTTCTTCCGTAGCCGATGAAGGTGCGCGCGAACCGTTTCAAAACTCTACACAAATTTACTCTAAAACTCGCGTTATTATACGACCGTGCACGTGCAACTTCTGCAATTATTAACGACCACGACGATTTTGCATTAGAAGGCCGCCGCGGGGCGAACGAGTGTAACGACAACAAAGAACATCGGTTCGCTGCAGTGCAAGTAACACCGTCTAAATACTCATCTTACGTTGTCACTACACGAGGAATGATGGATTTTTATTTCAATTTAATTTAAATATTTTTATTTTTTTTTTTTCAACTCGAGCGTCGTCTTATAACCGAAACTGCGATTATTTCCAAGTCTAGTATTATCGCAGTAAACGAAAACCGAAATCATTTAGTTATATTATTGAGAACGTTCTTTTGACGCGATGGCCAATAACCGACCTAGTAATATCGTAGGTACACTCGTTTACCGGTGCTCGTTCTGGTAATTTTTTCCTCGGCGCCATCGGTTCATTTTAAATTTTAAAAGTTTTAAAATTCAAGAAAAAAAAACTACCAATTCCACGTACTTTTAAGAAAGAGTCAAAGTTTGAAAATTAAAAAAAAAATAAAACGCAAAAGGACGGATTTACACATTGTGGTCGGGAAATAATGAATAGGTAAGAGGGGTGTTTACGTAATGTAATCGCAGTCCTTTCCAAATTCTAGCTCTGATTACAGCACAACACTTATTCGTGGCTATATAATTCTAACATTAACAGTTTTCGCGAAATTTATTTGACTGGAAATCCAATTATGCGCTCACAAAGTATACAGAAACGGTTCACCGTGGTGGGACATAGCTATGATCCGCCCGCAGAGGTGCTTCGGAATACGTTTTTAAACTTTTTCGAAAAGTGTTGATGGACAAAATAACGAAATCCTATGCAACGTGAAACCTGACAAATGTGCAGATCAAGTGATTATATTATTACCCTCGATATCACAGCACCGTCGGAAGTACGTACATACGATACATACTGTACGAGCATACATTATTGTTTAAATAATTTAAAAATTAAGTAACTGTACAACGGGTGTTGGTCCGTAGTCGTATAACACGTGTGATGTATTGCTAATATTACTATATATTAAATATTGTACGCTGTATCGTACACATGTGACGGAGGAATAGAATTTTTGATGAAATCCGTCGTGACCGCACGCGTAGCCGAAGGTAATGAACTCCACAAGAATTTATTGACGATTTTGGATATTTACGACCACGAAGGGTCATGTACGATATATCCTGTTATACCGTATATGCTACACGTTTTATGTATACGTCCAAGTTCCGAACGAGTAGCGAAGTATGGCATTTTTTAAATATTACTCGAACAAGGTCGAACGATTATATTATTATATACCATTTTACGAGTCCGCCAAACTTCACATGCGTTCATCGAAACGAGTTGTTTTATATATTTCTATAACTGGAATAGATTTACACTTACTAAAAAAAAAAAAACGATTTATTATATCGATCATCGATCTCACTGTGGTGCAGATTAAGACTTTTGGTGCGGATTTATGAACTGCTCGATCAAAAAAAAATTGATCGCTGAAAAAAAAAAACTTGAATCGAAAATGATCTGTATGTTTCAATTAAAACGAATTAAATCACAATAAATGTGTATGTATTATACGTGTCATGTGTGTATATGAAATTTTCAGTACACGTTTTGTGTTTATGATTTTAGTTGAAACATTCCTATCCCGGGGGAGGGAGCCTAAACCAATTCAGGGCAACAGCACACATAATAAATACAAAAAATACGACAAATATTTTATAAGCTTGGAGTATTATATGCCCCTCTTATACAAGTCATCTTTATTTCACACCAGTACACCTACTCATGGTGGAAACGCGTTAATCTTTTACTCTCTATTATTCTCGACGACGAAAGAAAGACGTACATGCAGCCATCGCTATAACGAGATCGTATAACCAGAGGAAAATATTGCTAATACGGTAATCATAACGAAAATTCCGAAAACGTCTATTGTTATTTACGTTAAACAGAAGTCGTCTGCGGAATAGGTACCACGTGAACACGTGCCAGAAGTCACAAACATTATAACAGCGTATTATGAACGATAATCAAACGAAAAAAAAGTTATGTACACCATAGACCCAACACATTACGGGATAACCTTAAGATATTTTTTAATTTGTTTGTAGTTATAGATCGAAGTTAAGTGTTTTAATTTTAAGCTTTTTATGTGTGCGTAATGAGTAAACGCATATGCCACGATTAGAGTACAAAAAGTATAATTGTTTTCGAGGAAAAACTCCAGAATAACGTAACTACTGCTGAACGGAAATAAACCAAATAATAATTATCACACTATTCCGTGTTGTGCACTAAGGAACGAGGAACATACAGATATTTTAAACAAAACAATAGCTAAAAAAATTGATTCTTGATAAATTAGAAAAGAAGATGTGTCTACCCGAGTTAAGTCTGAAAACTTCTCAAGTCAATAAAAAAAAAAAACCCGTGTACATAATGTAGTATCACTTATTATTATTCGACAATTTACACAACAGGGTTAACTCGTATTAAAATTGTCACGTTGTTATTTTCTGTGCCGTAACGTGTGTGAACAATGAGGTTATACTACGGAAGCGCATGCGTGTATCAAATAATATTAAACTGTAAATTCCCAACGGAAAACGTAGTGTAGTGTAATACGTGACGACGAACGTATTGAAACACAATTCGCGGCTTAACAGCAAAACAATGTTCGAACGGTCATGAAAGTGATTTGATACACATAATACTTAAACATATTGTATTTTACGCTCGTTACGTCGCATTAATATTTAGCGATTTCGATAAATCATATTAAACATTATCGCGATCGCGTCATGTGCGTGACCAATAAAAATCATTCGAAAACCCATCGACATCACTTAACGCGTCGCGCATCAAAACGCTGCGGATGACAGTAACCTCTAAGTTTGATCTCGTATTACACAAGTATATTACGAAGGTGTGTCGAGGTAGTGTGTGTGTGTGTGTGTGTACTTCGTTTTCATCAAATGCAAATTCGCGTGTCATAAGCCGATGAGGCGGTATTACGGTTAAGCTTTGGTGCCCGTCACGTCTCAACTGTGGCGCGTCATGAGAAAAATCGCGTGTCGTCAACGGTTGAATGCGCGCGGTGTTTTCATGCACACGTATAATTTCGTCGTCGCTCCGTGGGTACCTCCCGAAGAACGTAAAACCCGATCGCAGGGACGGTTTTAGGAACTTAAATAGGGTGGAGTCAGGTAGAGGTATAGATGTGGAAATATTTGTTGAAATTTAAATAATCGACTATTTACACTACGATTTCGTACATCGAAAAATACCACGATTACGCGAAATATACTTCGACGAAAGTCGAATGGTTTCTTTCCGTATGTATATTAACAAATACAAACAATATTATCCTACGGTGTTTTAATATGAATTTTTTTTTCTTTTCTTAATCCTGAACACTATGGTTTCGATCTAGAAAACGTCTAGACGGGACCAAGTCCCTGGTCGGTTTCCTCTCACTAATCGATCTCGCGCGAACAAAGGAGAACGATAAAAATCCACCTAAAGGCCATAAGAAAACGACCGAGTAACCGTCGAGCTCCGGCAAAGGACCGTCGTCCGTACCTACACGCGGCCGCCGAGCAGGACATGAAATTCTCCTCGGAGCTGGCGTTAACGAAATTAAATCAATACGAGTGATGGTGGGCGCGAGGGCGGAGGGGATTGTTTTTAATGGGCCTAAGAGTTATGATCCGGAAAACGGGGCAGACTACGTGATATCCGAGTGCAATTTCGAAAACCCGATGAATTACAACCCATTGTGTTCCGTGGTGTACGCGGTGAGGGTACGAGGGGTTTGGGGTTGGGGCAGAGAATACGGTGTAATCGATTTCGTCGGATAATTGGAACCGACTAAAAAGAGAGAAAAAAGAAACCCAGCCAGTCGACGTGCCGCGCGTGCATACACGTCGTACAACGGCATCGGGAAATATTGCACGTCTTACACGATAATTACAATAATAATAATAATGATGAAAACGATAACGGTAACAACGATGACAGTGTAATACATATCGTCTTTTTCTCGTGCCCTGTTTTCCCGCGTGCCCGCACACGCATTAGCTACTACGCAGCCTCGTCGTCGCCGTTGCTCTCGGCAGCCGCGGCGGTCAACAACTGCGGCGGCGGCGGTGCCAAGTCTTCGAAACGTCAGAAAGTCAGCCACGCGTTCTCGGCGAAGGGCGGCCGAAGTCAGAACGGGGGCGGCGGTGGAGGTCAACCGACCGCCGGTCAAGGGATGCAACAGCCGCATCACGCCATCGTGCCGGACCAGCTGAAACTCTACAGTGAGTACCGAAACATATACCGTCGAATACCCCACCAATTACCGATCTCCGAGAGGCAACGGGTTCGAATAGATATGTGCTTGATCGTTCCCGCAAGTACAGGGACATTTATCCACTGTTTGATCCCAAGTCTTAATAAGTCGTAATAATCCTTTTTCTCTCTTTTTTTTTTTTTTATTTCTGGCCCATGATTAGAACTCTGGATGCAACTAGCTCGCGAAACGCGATACGATTAAATGTTTTAATTTTTTTCCCCCGGCGGTTAAAGTAAATCACTATCCAAACATTTGTATGACAGTGTATTCTATACTCGTTATCATATACCTATAATATATATTATAGAGTATATATTATATAGTGTTGGACCCAGATGCATTTCTTCAGAATGGTCCACAAAAATGTCATCTCGTAAAGTGATAAAAAAGTGCTCGTAAATATTGTAAAATATCAGAATCCCTTTAATGGTACTTTATTTTAAATGCAAAAACAATTAAATTAACTACATAGTTAGCGTCATTATTTATAACACAACTATATGATATAAATAATACCATATCATGTAAAAATTCATTTTTTTTTTAAACGATTTACAAATTGTACAATAGAATTTTTTCTAAATTACAAAATTCTGCTGATAATTAAAGTTATAAATATTGATCATAAAAAAATATCAATAACAAAGAGGTATTTTGACGATTTATGAATCTTTAGAAATGAGGGCCCCCCGACATAAATTCATCTGGTTTCCAGGATACGTTGGCGACCGTTGGGTAGTGGTCATGGCCAGGCCGACACTGTGTATTGGCGACAATTGAGACAATTTGAGTTGTATCGTTCTTCTTCTGGGTGTGTGAATTGGGCGCGCATGTGTTGCATAGGTGATCAATCGCGAGCGCAGTTTATGTCCGCGCGCACCGGAAACGATTGAGTTTACTTCTCACACCAGGGCTGTATTGAGGTCTGGTAGCGCCCCTGGCAAATCACTCTATTTGCGCCCCCCTATCCCCCAACGGGAAATTTGCATTTTTCCAAAAAATCTTTTTAGATAGGTATAAAAAAAATATACAAAAACATATCTAATATACAAGGTAATAATTACTAATAAACTTTAATAACTATTTGTATTACTTCAATCAATACATTATAAAAACATGTAATTTTCTTCAAATTTTTTTGTTATACAATTGTGTTAGATGATTTTAAATTTATTTTAATACAATATTACAATGGCACTTTTCTCGCTTTTATAAAGGCAAACTTCTCAACGAAATTATCAAATTAAATTGTTTTAACTACATCTTTTTCATATTTTGTGAAAATTATTACGTCAGTAGTGTTAAAGTTTGTGCCTCTTGTCCTGCACTGAATACAGCTCTGCCTCACACGATCGCTTCAAAGTATCCGAGTTGGGTCCTGAGTACTAAGGGCTAACCGCAGGTAGTGTATTAGTTGGATCCCGGATTTTCATAGGTACTACACTAGTTGGGTCCCAGATTATTATAGGTAATAAACTAGTTGGGTCCTGAATTATTTTATGTATTACACTAGTTCCTGAATATTTTTTGGTAAGTACTATATTATACTAACATTTTCCTTCCTATTTTAACAGACTTAGAACTGTCTATGATCTATTTAGACCACAGGTATGGTTAAAAATGTTTTTCATAGTTTTTTTCCATTGAAATATAAATTATTAGAATTGTGCTGGTAAAAATATTAAAATTATTATATATAATATATTATATAAATATAATAAATGGTACTACTCAACTGGTGTAGTACCTAAAATAATTCGGGACCCAATTCGGATGCAGCCGATCGCTTGACAAATTGACAAACGGTCACGATCAAAACGTTACCACGCTGTGGATTTCATATTTTCGGCAGCGCAATCCTGACGCTTTACCGCCAGCAATTGTTTACCGATCGTCCGGCAATAGGAACAATTGTTTCGAACAACGATAACGATCGTTTCCACCGTGTACGAAACGGTTGTTTATCTTTCTGTTCGATTTTAACCTTTTTTTTTTTTTCAATTCTTATTTGAATTTGCAATTATATTTTTAAACTCGAAATGTTTTCCATAGCGCGCATTTGTTCGGACGAAAAACGACTTTGAGATTTTTTTTATTACGATATTATAATGTTCCGTTAACGCATAGGCAATCCAGACATACTGATATGCGGCAACTGTCGAGAGATGTTCACCGAGCTGCAAGGCCTGTTGGATCACAAGAAGGAATACTGCAAGCTTAGATTCACCTGCAAATGTAACAACTCGATCAAGCCAAATGTCAACAATAATAACAGTAAGTTTAGTGCGCCGATGTAGTAACCGGGTAAGAACAGTGATTAACGTTTTTTCAATACGGTATTGTAATATCTCTCGGTCTTCGTAGCGACTAAATTTACTCGTGTAGTTTTAGTAATTTTTAAGTACAATACGTTTACGTGGTATTCGAAATGTCCAAGAAACTCAAGTCTTTAAACACCGACATACATCTCTGTTTGACCTACTGCGATCAAATATATGTGGACACAATTGTCTAACCTCTTATTCCAATCTCTTAATTAAAGGCTTCTCAACAAATTTTATTTCTGGTAATCCTCCAAGGTGTTTAAAGCACAATTGGTATACAGACTTTTTATAACTTAATCTGAACAAATAAGAGAAAAAAACTAATAAGTTAACTAAATATAGAACTAAAAAAAAAATCTTCAAATTAAAGTTTCATCGCTGGGTGGCTTCTTTATCAAGTTTATTCGTGTCATTAATTACTTAGCAAATACTCTTATTGTGCCAGTAAGGCACAGATTGTGTATGTACCAATAAATAAAAAAAAAATTTAAAAAAATATATGTGGAGAGCAGGAATAAAATTTCTTACACTGATAATTTAATATGGTAAAAGCTTCTTTCTTCGAGCCTAGTTTGTAGAGCCTCATTTTGTAGAGCTAATACAAAGAGTCTTGTCAGAGACTAAAAACTCTTAAATAATACCGCGACTAAAGTTTTGATCGAGATGCTTAAGACGACACCCGAAATTTTCCAACAAATATCATCGGCATTTTAACCATAACTTTTAAAATAAATTGTCCATCTCAAAAGTTAACCTTTACTTTATAATTTAACCTCATTGGGTATTCGAATGTATTATTGTGTACTATATTAACAGACATTTGGATGCGGATAGCTTATAGACTTAGATTTATTGTTATGACGGTAGGACACTGTTACAAAGTCACGACATTGCATGCACGGTTAAACCATAAAAAAAACCTTAGGTTTAGTCTGTTGGGGGCAACAGGCTTAACCTATTTTGTGTTCGGTCCGGATTAGACAAACAAAAAAAAATATACGATCCAAAGTGAAGTGCGACTGAAACCTTGACGTAGCTGTAGCGGCGGTGGTATCGTGTATAATTTCATTACGTTTAACGTCACACTCAACTATCGTTATGTCGTGGATATCCGACAGGAAAAAAGTCTCGTTTTCCGGTGCCACTGCGTCGTCATGACGTTTACCGTAATCTTCTTATAAAATAAATTAAAAAAAATTTAAATAAATCTGCGCGCCTGTAGATGGCGAAAATACCCCCGCGACGTTTAAACGTAAAACATTTATGGTAACTCTACGACTGAGGGGGAACGCGAGTCACTTACATTAATTTAAAAGCGCATTTCGAAACGATCGATATTTATACTGTCATAATGGTTAAAACGGTAATAAACATTATATTATTACGTAATAATAATTTCAAGAAAACCAATCGGCTAGAACGAACATGGCAAAACAGAATACGATCCGATAAGAGGGAGGAAAGGCGGACTTGTTTTTCTTTTCTTCCACTCGATCGCTACGAACCACGGTACCGTGAAAACTTTATTGTATTTTTACAGCATGTATCTGACTCGTGGTTTAACTAATTAACGATTAATGATGTGTAAGTATATGTGCGTGAACAATAATAATTGCAATGCCGTTGTACCGTTTTCTTGATTTATATGATACATGGCAATCGCGCGTAAGTGTGTCGAATAACGATACGTATAACAGGGATATTTATTTTATTTCTTTCTAATCACCGCACACGGTTGCAGAATGGCCGGGAAACTTGAACGACGGCTGCGTGTCCCTGATGTGCGTCCAGTGCAAGGAATCGTTTGACAGCGCCTGGGACCTCATGGTACACGCGCAAGCGGCTCATATGATGAACGTCTATCAGTTGGCCACCAGGGACCAGGTGACGGCTTCGCCCGTGGGCACAGAATCGGAAAACGGATCGACGGTGAGTCACTTTCGCACATGATATAAATTATAACGTATAGTTTTTTTTTTTTTGCGAACGGTAAAAATCGGTTAGTCCGAACGAAGCGCGACGGAAAATGACCTGGACAGGTTGTTACTATAAACACAATGATATTTTCCTAGGACCAACGTCTCTACACGTGGTGCTTTAGTTAAATGGAAGCAACGGAATCGCTAAGAAATGGGATTAGCCGCGTGTTTATCAAGCTCATGCTTGGCTGTTGATTTCCGAACGAGTTGCGTATCTGACCGAATCGGCGTATTACCTTTTTTAGACTTTCAGACGCATTATTTCGGTCGTTATTGGCAGGGGTGAAAGTAGTTGTAAAGGGGAATGACGCCGTTAGACTGTGATATTCGTTATTCGTGTTCACGGGCATCTGGTATCACGAGGAAGGAGCATAATTCCGTGACATTTGACCGACTAAACGATATATTATCTACCCTGTGACATACATATTTAAATGGCTTGTATCAATGCGTTATTACTCAACGTTTTATCATTTATTTACCGTGGTTTCGCGAAAATTTCAGATTATTATTATAACTAATTATAACATTTCCACGTTAATATACTCAAGTTGTAATATTTATTATAGGTTATGAGATCTTTATCATAAAAAAAAAAAACTGAAAAAGTAAAAAAGAAATGCATTAATAGTTAAATTGATGGCTGTTGCATTAATAATTAAAAATCATTAATTGGATTCGATAATTTATACACCTGTTTGATCTGGAGAAAAAAGTTTATATACGATGAAAGGTGATAGTTTTTATACTTTATGCGTGTACATGTAGTTACGGTTCGATGTTGGCATTTATCATTTTATATAAATTTCAATACATCGTTCACAGATTCATATACATAATGGAGTTTAATAAATTATCGTGTGTTTTATTTTTATTTTTAGTGTTTGCGTTTTTATCGGACTAAAACCATTAACGATTTTCATTAGTTTTTCCTTCGAGACCAATGTTAAAACATTATTTGACTTATTTCATAAGGATTTGAACGGATCATTAATTATTGCTCGACACCGCGGTAAAATTCTATATTTATTAGTTTTCGGCAATCGAAGCCAATCGCCCGTTTTTGCTGAAAAATATCAGAAATTAAAAGCGTGTGCACAGCTTAGTGGTGCAATTACTGCATCGACCCAAATCAAAAACCGATTTGTTGCATTTACAGTATCCCTTAATAAAACGCGTTTTATATCCGAACGTGCTATAAACAAAACAATTAATTGCACATCGAAATAAACTGCCTATGGTTTTGCGAGAATTCAAAAACAAATAAAACATGAAATCAATATTATATAATTCCTGTTTCGAATGTCCATGCTTAACCAGATACGTTATATCTGCAAAATTTAAAACGTTGATAATCAAAACCAATATTAAGCTTTTCAAATATTCTTAAAAATCTTTAGACTTATATATATATATTTGTGCATGTTAATTATTTATAAATCATTTTGCTGTATACATTTTCTGTCTAAAGTATCATTAAAGAATAAGAAATTAAATTTTCTCCGTGAAAAGGCGTATTTAAGGTGCATTTAAATTCCTCGTTTGAAAAGTTTAATGTGTCTAGAATAAAATGAAAGACAATTAATTCATGCACGCATGAATAATGTATAGGAAGCAAGGGCAGGTATTAGAATCTTTCGAACCGAAAGTGTTAAGATGTACATAATGAACTCGGGTAGTCAAATAGGGTTAAGTCGTTATAACGTTTTTAACGAGTTAAGTGAAAATTAATTTTTACTCATCAACTAAATTTGGATTCTTAAATGAAATTTTAATAAACAAAAACGGCAATAATTTTTAATATTTGTTGTTATATAATACGAGAATATTATTGAATTATAAACGAAAAATCGAAGATATTTTATCGAGAAAGATTTGGTCATTATTGCGAGAAAATGTTACTTTTCTGAGATGGGTTGATTAAGTTATAATTATTAATATCATAACGAAAAGAACGGTGTACTTCAAGCCCAAAAAGTCGACTATTATTTCCAATCGGTCGTCGATTTTTTTTTTTTTTTTACTGCGACATCATAGTAATATCTTACGTGATTGCAATTATTGTTAACTGGTCTAATAATATGCGAGTAATATTATTTAGAGTACAACTGACGAAGAATCTATTGGTTTATTTATTTATTAAACGTACGGTCAGTACGTAGCCCAATGATTATAATTACAAAAATCTATTAGTGCAACAATATATATACTTTTGAAATATAATAAGAATGATAATAATACGTAGTATTCGCCGGTGTTTGTTTTAAAAATTGAAAATATGAAAAAAGAGCATTGTCTCTAGCTTAGTTGTCGCCCGTACGGAATACTCACACGAGAATACCAGTTAAATACATGGGAGTACATTATTTCCGATGTTTAAGCATTCGATTTGGGCGAAACTTATTTTTCTACGCTCCCGTTCCGATGCGATGTCAGTTCCCGATAAATTTCTAAAAACCGAATTTTCTGGTTGTAAATTTACATTTTTGAAAACATTCGTTCACCGCTCGTTTGTGTTAAACAGGACTTTTGAACAACCCGCTGTTGCTTTTCGATTTGTTTTGCTTACACCAAAGTTGCGCGTACAACAAACGGCGATCGGTATACTTTGTGATACAAATCCGAGACAACCAAAGGTGGACTTTCGCAGATCTTGCCATGAGAGCAGCTGAATGTTAAAAAAAAAAATTTGATGATTTTACGCCCGCCTCAATCCGGGTTCATCCTGGATAATGACCACGCGGAACGTACAGCGTTTCACCGAAGGACGTGCAATACAACCGATGTGACGGGTGAAATTCCTGAGGAATTTTCCAAATCGATAATTCGCTTTTTGAGCGAGACCACGGCAATTAAAACACGTGCCCGTAACCGTAACTCTGCTGACGCAAAAATATTTACAACATTTCCGATGTGCACACGCGCGGCTATCCTGCTGTAAACAATACACTGCACTCCCGAAACATTGAAATTCGGACGAGCGCTTTTTCGGGCCCGTTCTCACCGTCGTTTTCCCTCCCCCGTTAAGCTACCGTGGTCAGACACCGCTGAAAGTGTTTGTCCACGTACGTGAAACGTATGCTATCCGTCCGTCGTCCGTTCTTGCGGCTCGCGCTGCCGATTCGTTGGGACGGACCCAGATAAGGTCAGCAGCTAATTTAACAAATGCGTTCGAGTGAAACGTGCACGCGCAAGGGGTACACGTCAATTAAGTCCAATCCCCCGGGGACACGTTCGGCGAGCTGATGTTTCGTTTCTATTTGTTTTGAGATTTTGCCAACGTCCGTACGATCGCATCCCGTCCGGCGTACGTTACGTGTTTTTCGTGGGAGCGAGTCGTCATCCCTTCGCACGTTGTACCGTTTATATCGCGTCCGCATGTGTTTCGTTCGAGTTTTTTCAATCGATACGTCCCCTTGGAATAAACCTCGCATTTGAAATACACCCATCTAGTCGGATCGTAATTATTATCGGGTAAGAAATGTAAAATTCCTCTCGGTCTGTTCAAACTTTGATGTACATCCTGCAAGCTCTACCTGTTAATGGTGTATAAAATAGTTTAACGGCCATACATATTGACTAGTTGTTAGCATGGCACCATTAATGTACACACGTATTACATGTTTGTTTAGTTGCAATGTAAATCGAACTTCGGACAACGTAGTGGCGTAACTGAGAAATAACCTAGGGGGAGGGGCAATATAATATATTTATTATTACCATAACCCTGACATCCTTCCCCCTCGCCAGTTAAAACATATTTTAATTGTATGTATTTTATACACTATATCTAATTGTTTGATTTTACATGAGTCTTTTAACTCATTTTATGGTTTAGATAAACATAAATTGTAGGTAGCATGTACTAGGTACCAATATTGTTAAATAATATCCATAAAAGTTCATAAATAAAAGGTGCTATTTGTACTGTTGGATTATCTGGGGGGGGGAGGCAAAACGCCACTGGACAACGCATCGGAAACATTTGACACTGATATAATATTATTAAAGTGTGAAAACTATTGAAAATCTATTCGTTTTAAAACCATAGACGTATACGATATTATATTACGTTATAATGACTTTTCTTCGGTCTTTCTATTCCTCTCGGTTCTATCGAAACAAGATGCAGACCATCATATTCCGGTACAATAATAGTTCTGAAATGTGATGGCCATTCCCTGTTCGGCATACCCTAAGGAATAGCGAATATGACAAAAATGCATTTCGCTGGTCATCCACCCACAAAATATTTTCCCCGCACGTTTGTCAACTATTGTTCTCTCTGCGCGGCACATCCTAATACGAACATTACTCCACACGCCTAACGTTCCGGCCGTACAGCGAAGTGTATATATATACGAAAATGACCAGATTTTCGGTGCTGAGACTATACATTGAAGCTGGTCGGACACGGGTTTCTTTAGGTTTCAAAGAATTCGAAACCTACGAAATTTCAACAACACGATTTTACTATCAAGGTCCAGTTCACCGTGGTATGTTGTCGGACGTTATACGATTACATTTATAACCGTAGTGTTACTAAATACCTAAGTTTGTTTCGGCCTAACTTTCAACGAAAACAAATGTTGTATATAAATATATTATTTTCGAACAACGCGGCCGTATACCCGTTGGAGCGCAGGGAACTGCTGCGGGGTTGGCCGACGAGCAGAACATATTTCTGGTCGATTGATTTCACGTCGCGCGTCTCTTATACACATCGCATCGTCCGTCCCTGTTACATGAACTCTTTCCACTCGTCGTTCCTCTTACACCCCGCAAGTAGCCGTCGTTACTTTTCCCTCTCGAACTTTGCGCGTGCGATAATATACGTCCCCCATTCGGAACCCTCACGACTATCACCGTCGCTCGGAATCGTAATTAAAACGGAACGAAATCAAAACACACACTCACACCATAGGCGCATGCACGCACGCATTTGTTCTGGGAAATGTACGTTTATGTATATTGTGCGCGAATGTGTGTGTGTGCGTGTATAGATAAACACGAGCAAACGCAGCGACGGGTATAAACGAGGGAGAGGCCACACCCTGAAAATCGGAGGAATGATAACTACCGGAAGTGATCAATCGTGGGCGTGGTGCGTGACGACCGGCTTTCGTGTCTAGAACTTTGTCTCTGACATTAAGTTATTAAAGCTACTACACAACTGTATTACCATAATGTTATGAAGAGAAAAGGGGGTGGAAAAAATCGTGAACACAAAAACAATATCCCGTGACTGACGTCACCGGTGCCGTGCGTGCGCGTTTACGTGCAGCGAACACGCGTTGCAACGGTCGTTTTCTGCGGGACGACCAAAATTTTTATACCATCTCTTGCTCCCCTCCCCCCCCCCCTCTCGTCACGAGTATTTCGTAACCGCGGCCGGTAAAAAAATTTCCTAGGTTCTACAACACCGCTGTTGTCACGACAACTTTTCACAGATATGGTAGCAAATACGTTCGCAGTAACGTCCACTGTTCGTACGCTGTGTATGGAAGTTTAGAAATTGTTTTTCTTCGAATGACGGCTAAGATATAGCGTATAGCACGTCGTTCGGATGCGAATTTCCTGTCCGTGGAAAAATACTTTGAACTTCTTCGAAAAACACCAGCTCCCTCCGTCATATCTCCTACGAACCATAGGTAACACGCTAACCTGTAGTGATACAAATCTGTGGTTCAACAATGTATAAGATCACCTGGACGAAAATTTGGTATCGGCGGTCTTTTGTGTTTGGCGTCTTGTTATGTATGTTATGATAATCGGCCAAATCTGACGTAAATAAAGTACACATCGTAACGACAAATATTTTAACCATTATGGTGATACGGTTTTAATACGTTTCGTTGATAAACCAACACTCGTCATATTCGCGTATTTGTCGCTTTAAATCCTCTCTAAAATATCGCTATTTCTTCTTCCACGATGGTACACCTTCACTTCGATTCGCCTACAACGTATTCGATATGATAATAACTGTATTACCGTTAATATATTGCGAATAAAACGTGATTATATATACATATATATGACAAAACTTTTCGTTCAATAGTGGAACCTTGATAAGTTTAAATTTAAGAGAAATGCGATTTTTTGACTTGTCGAGAGTTTTTCGATTTACTTTAATTTTAAAGTTATCAAGGTTTTAGGAAAAAAAACATTGACTCAAAGATTTTTTAAAAATTGTTTAGAGTTTTTAATTTCAGTGTGTATTACTATTGTAATTATTTCAAAATGATTACTAAAAAATATAATAAAAATGTGTATAATGTTGCAACTTGAAAATAGATGATTTGTTATCCTACTTTGACTTGAAGTTTGAAAGCGACATTTTAACACAGAACATTTGAGTTATCCATAGTTTTCCCTTCGAGATTTCCACAAGAGAAATACGGGTTCTCAATGAATTTTCCTTAGTTCTCATTCCGGAAACTATTTTTAAGTTGTATATATAGTCTTCTCTAGGTTTCTTTTGTTTTATAATCAAAGCATTTTTCTTTAGACCGTTTTTACACACGTTCGAAATTGCTTTTGCCGTTTGAAGTTATTCCATCGCCGAAAGCTTTGATCAAATACAACCTATTTATATGTTACCGATGAGCTTTCACTCGGCGTTCAATATAAATTATAATCGATGACGTTACATCGAAACAAGTTTTCGATCACCACATATGTATAATGCATATCATGTTATAACATTATTTCCGTTGCATGAATATACATATGTGACTCGTTTCCTTTGTTGTCGTTGTATACGCGATCCCCGTTTCAATGTTTGAGAGATTATTTTTATTCACACTCTTATTATTATTATTATTATTATTATTATGCAACATAAAATTTAATTTTCTACTTCTCTACACGATCTACGCGTGATTGTTCTCGCAAACGATTTATTTTACGTCTCATCACCAATGTATAGTATAACAACCAACACGTGCGTTTCGTGACTTCCTAACTTACCTATAACCCTCGGATGTTCGATCATCATCATAACACATCTGTGCGATTAGGCAAAGTTATCTGGTTATCTTAGCTCAAGAGTGGCGGACCTCTGACGTACGTGCCGAAGAACAGGGAACATTATAACGTTTCTTTTTTTTTAAAATTAAATTACATTTCAATGAGAAGCGAAATGGATTTCTGTGAGCAGTTAAAAGCAAATCGAATGCAATGTGAACAATTCTTGTTAAATATTAACGCGACGTGTACAAATTTATGGGTTAATAGATATTTTTTCCTACTCGATCGGTGGACCGAAAAAAATTCAAAGTTATTAATGGAATTGCCGGCAAGGCCGTGGAAAGAAATCAAGGGCCCCAGCCAGGCCCTTATCACACGAGGTATTAAACTTGCCACTGACATCCAGTGCCTTCTTTCAAAATGAGTATACCAAAGGGATAATGTATGGATTATTCTTATAGATGTCATGGTTATTCCGCAGACAAAATGAAAACAATTATTTACAGCCTATGGGTCTATCTTGAAAATATTATTTGTTTACGTCTTAGAACTTTGTAGTGTTCGCTTTATTGTAGACTCGTTATAACTGTACATAATCCTGTTTGGATGAGCGCAACGGCTAAAGTTTGCTTTTCGAGGTCGCGTATGAAGTGCAATCGCGGAGCAAAGATTTGTGGGCTGGTACGTTTAGAGGGATTTCGGCTAGGAGCCGGGTGAGGACGGTCGATCGAATGGTTCGATAAAAACAACGAAAACGACGCGCGCGGCTTACGCGATGCGATTATACAATGTATACACTGTGCTTGTCGGATTTCAGTGTTCCGTGGGCGCTCAGGTGAACATCGATGAGGACGCGAACGGGTCGGCGGACGAGTCGCTGAACGATCGCAACGAGTACGAGCCGGCCGACAACGATCGCGCGCCCGACGACACGGTGGCGCTCAGGTTCGGAGACAAGGAAGAGCTGGCGGACGGCGCGCCGATGGCTTCGTCCTGTCAGACGTGCCTCATCCAGCAGCCCATGCACGCGCTCATGGGCGTACACTGAACGCATCGTCGTAGTTTTATTGTATAATAATAATAATAACAATATTATACCGTTATTATAATTATTATTGTTACTAGTATTGTGTACGACACGTTCGCATTTAACGTTTAGGTAAGCCATTCGATTTCGTCCACCTTGCACTGGTTTTTTTTTTTTTTTTTTGTACACGTTTATTTGTTCGTCCGTTCGTGTGTTCTGTACGGTCCGATCGCGATGCGAATTCGCATTGTCTTGTTGCTCCCACGGCTAAAAGCTAAATTCGCAAGGACCAAAGGATCGATGTTATACGAATTAACTTGAACGCGTTAAACGATTAATCGGTGCATTCGATACTAATCGAAATAAAGACAAGTAAAACAAATTAACGATTCATAAATCAATCTCAAGTACCAGAAACTAATCAAACATACCGATACAAAACATTCAATTTAATTATTAAGCGATTCATACAACATTAATAAAGCAAGGTTTTCCTTTTTATTTCTAAAGTATTTGAATTTAAGTTATTCCAAGTAATTTCGTATAAGTAATGACACGTAAGATGTGTACTGATGGCGGACTGCACGTAAATTTAATTTATTTAACACATTTAATTACTTACCACAACCACCACCACCACCCTGATGTCTAACCTCACAAATCTGCTGAGCTATTTTCCACCCCCTCGGTTTCCAAATTTACTTGTATTATGATAAAAATAAGATTTTACTTTTTACGTAATAGATAGGTAAATATTTGCCAATTTTTCATGTAATAATTGCAATAAGCATTTGAATTTGAAATTAAAACTATTGTGTAAGTATAATACATTAATGCATACAATTTTCTCTCTGTAAAAGTATCCATAGTTAATAAAATAAAAAATCTAACCTCTTTTGAAAAAGTTGACGCAGCTGCGTCAAAATTTACCCCTTCGGCCCACCATTAAGTGTACTTCTCTGTATACATAACAATAAATTAAAATAAATCCTAAAGTCAATGTTGGATAACTTCTAGTTCTTTAATTAAACCGAACTTATGTGGTGCCCAGAGAATGGAGTTATATTCAAGGCATGATCGGACTAGTGCACAGTATAATGATTTTAAAGCAGTAATATTTGTGAAGCTTTCACGGTAGCATCTAATAAAACCTGATTGTTTTGATGCTTAATAATTATTTTAGAAAATATGAGCATTTTTTTTTTTTTTTGAGTAAAAAACAATTTTTCCTGTATTTCCCGTAACTCTTTATCCGACTAGGTCAGTGTTTACAACGTAATCTATTGGACTGCGCGTTGCACCTGTAACGGGGAAAATTTTCGAATGGACCGAACAAATTTATCTAAATAAGTATAATAAATAAATAAAATAAAAAAAAAAAAAACCTGTCCCGTGAAGATACCGGATGACCAAATAACTTTTTTTCTCGTATGCGTTATATTTTTAACCTGTTGTAGTAAAAATAATTCATTTTTCTCGATTCGTTTACGGTATAAAAAGCGCCAGAAAAAACCACCGCGGACAACCGGTCGGAAAATGATGTAAATATACCTCGCGGATTATTTGAATCTTAGTTTGAATACATTGTCCTTAAGTTAATCACCTTTGAACGAAAGTATTGTAATAACTTAGAAGACGTTAATAATCATCGTATTAAATGCGCACGTTATATCTTTGTACATATATTTTCCTTGTAACAATTACACAGCGTTTGTTTCATAATATTCTATTCGAATAGTCGTACTCCAAATGATTGATCCGTCAAATTGTCGTTTGACCTACTAAATTTATATAATTGGTTTGAATTTATTCGCAACTTAACGTCCAACACTACATCATTCAATCGTTAGCTTCATGGTCACGGAGATCCTGATAGAATTGTTTTCTAAAAAAAAAAAATCAAATTATTATGCACTTAAATGATAAGATTTTAATACGGTTATACACTTCAAGCCCGGTATTAGAATGAAACTAATTTTTCAAAACGTACTTTTACAATTTATTGTGTTTACATGCTTACGTAATTCTTATAATATTAATAATAATAATATCACAAGTATTCATTTGAACTGTTTTTCATTTCTATTTCTAATTCTTTGACGAAGGTAAAACTGAGCACTTTAAGCTATATGAAATATGATAAAAACACAACGCGTGCACCAGGATTGCATTGTATATACTCTTATAAACCGTGTACAACCATGCGTAAAAACAACTACAAAAACGTTTCAAAATACTACATTGAAGTTAAAACGTTCTCCTTATAAACTGTTCGTCGTCCATATCCATATAAATAATACGGTGTGCGCGGTACACGAGTAAATTGTAGAAACGAATTCTGTACTATACTTATTTCACAATACACGAATAAAAGTAAAATTTTTACTATCGGTAAAACAACATCTTGAAATAATCATGTCACATTAGTAATATGCTTTTGTATTTAATATGATGAGGCCCACTGGATGTATCTGTTTGGGGACAATTAAATGGCCGAATAAATGCTTTACGTCTTCTAGAGCAACTTAATAATCCGGGAATACTATATATGACACTAGGCAACGGGACAGTTTTTATTCGCCATTAATCCGTACAATATCGCGAGAAAAGCACCCCTGATCGGAACGATATAATTCACTACGTTGCTTCCGTCCATTACGTGGAGTGTTGTTTTTGTTTGTTTCCTCTATACATCTGTTGTTTTTTTTTTGTAATTATTAATAATACAGACTGCACCAGTTGGGAATTTAAATTTCAAAAAATAAATAAATATATTTCAAATGATTAAAACTAACTAACCCGCTTGGGATATGTGTTCGTTTCGAAAAACGCGTGCATCGTGAAATCTGATTTAGTATCTGATTGCCCTTACTTCTTAAGTTCTACGTGGATAATATTGATAGGCGTATTACTGTTATTATTTTTCCTTTTTGTCCTTCCCATCGATTCAGAGAACACATTTCTGAAACGTGTCAGACGTTTCCCGACAGATAGCGTATAACTGTAGGTGGTTAAGCATAACATCGGTGCAAAAATAAAAACAAAACCACGCTTCCCACAAATACGATATAATTTACAATACGTTGAATAAGCGTTGTACAGAAGACAGAAGAGCTACTTTTTTTTTTTAACATTTGTACTTATTTTTATTTCCTGAACCCACGGGCTGTTGAATACATTAAACCCGTGCAGAGTAAAACTATTCGAGTACAATTATAAACATAAGCAGACGGTTTGTACTTCTCGTATTATGTTTTTTGTTTAGTTATTCATTTCGACTTCCGCGAAGTTCTATAACAGGTAAACAGTCAAGAGATTTAATCGTAGGACGTTTCCCGTAAAACATATCTAATAATATAATATTATTCTTCAATAATTGCCCGACTGAAACGTTTTCCACAAATATCTTATGAAAATATTATTAAAACAATATCATCAGTATCATCTACGGAACTACATCGTGTCCTTCTCGGACTAGTTCAGTCTCATGTCCCTCGATACCGTATCTCGTTTCTTCTCCGTAAAAGATCACCGAACATCGTATGGATATAACGATACAATGAAACGATTGCAATAAGTTAATAAATATCGACATATTCACTACTGAAAGACCGGCATTCCTATAGTGTCTTATTTTGAACCACCGACATTTACCTATGTTTGCACTTCCGACCACCACAAATGTTAGCGTCTACATAAGTTAATATGAATAAATCATTTATTTTTTTATTTTTTTGTCTTATATTTCTTACGTTTTATTATGTTATGATTCTAATGTATTTCTTGGGCCCGCGCGGACGTTAAAATGAATAAATCTCGTCGCGATCATAAACCTCGGGCGCGAAACGTACAATTATTTAGTGTGACCATGGGCGTCCCCAGGTGGGGGGGGGCAAGACGGGGCACTTGCCCCCTCCCCCTGGAATAATGTTATTTCCACAGAAATTGGTAAAATTCAAAATGTCCGCAGAGATTGAAATTTATATTTAATGAAAAAGAATGATGTATAATAATATTTTTTAATGTTTTAATTGTAATAATAATACCTACCTGATTGTAATGTTTTAATTCATAATTTTAATGATGACGAAATATAATAATTTACTATAAATAAAATGTATAAAAACAGTTTTCATTTATTTTTTTAATTAATGTTGCCCCCCCCCCCCCTCCTAGAAAAATGTCTGGGGACGCCCATGAGTGTGACGTATTAGGTTAGTTATCAATCATGATGGAGAAAAGTGATGTACTTGTATTCGATCTAGATTTAAACAGCGTCTCTGGTTGTGATAAACGCAAAGCAAAATACGTCCCAGACTATAAACGTATCCTAATGGTCACAGGTTTTCCCGCCGAGAACATTGCATTGGTCTCGTGAGCGCACGTACATACGTACACACATTAACTGATGCCGACTGTTTTATATTTTCAGATCCGCTTCTCGAACTAACACCGCCCGAATAATGGTACAGCTTCCGCATCGTCGTCTCGACCGGGAACACGACGTCCGTCTGTTGGTCAATCGTCGAACGCGTGTTCCGTCCGCCGCAACTGTTGCACTGCACGGAAAAACGCATCGCGATTTCAATATTCCGTTCGAAAACTACATTATTCCGTTGTATCCGTTAACGTAATATTGTTGTCGTACGATATTCTACAAACACCGACATTGATTGATCAGATTCCGTTGGAAAATATAATTTTTATGATGTGCACCTACTTGCCGTGCGGAAGTTGTATCATGCATACACAAATGTAATGTATTCCTTTAGAACCTTGTAAATGTTTTTTTTTTTTTTTTATGGTTTCGTTTTTTTAAATTTAAACGGTTTACCGATGCACCGTAAAACTATGAAAATTCTACGTTGTACACATTGTTTTCGTTTGTAGAGTGAACGTCAAATGTACATAACTGTATACTGTAATATCATTTAATATCATGGCGTTCGCGTGAACACACAGTACATATCACTATACGTAAAGAAAAAATCGATAGTTATATTAAAAAAAACATTATATGTGCTTAAAACCCGTATCGGACGATTTTCGACGCAGCCTGCGGTTGTTCTTAGTCTCCCCCTCCCATCACCACGATTATTGTCTATCTATTCGGCTTGTCCAAATGTTTTTCCTTTACGGTCATCAACATGCATGTTGACGGTGGCTTAAACCGTCCGTCCGTCTCATGCCTTGGCGGTGATGTTATTTCGGTAATATATTAGTTGTTGCACGAATCGACACCAACAGAAATTGACTACAAACCAGTAATCCTTTAGCCGGTTGCAAATGTTAACTTGACACGCAGTAAAACAGATTGGATAAAAAACAAAACTCATTGCATACAAATATTTTATGAATAAACATATAGACTTGATGATTTATTGGGAAAATGGCTGCCACATTTTTGTGTTCCGCGCGTATAAATTATTGTTATCGGTTTGCAGCCACCAGCGTATGCATACATCGCTTAATGCCTAATACAGAACAATAACGACCGTTGAACCATTGTTATTTCATGCCGATTTCCTGTCGAAAAATAAACGTTCGATCAAAGTTAAGCCATCCCATTGTTGTGCTATACGTTCGGTGAGCTCTCGACGGCGTGCCGAGGATTCGATTCGATCAGTTGGTCGGCGACCAAACGAAGAAATGTCCAAAGCCGATTCGCACGTAAAAATATTCACAATAATACGTTATACGTTGTTGTTGTGAATAGAAAATATGACCATCCGTACGTCATATTTCCACTAGTCGTGGTGTCGAATAGGATTCCGGCAGATTTTTACCGATTTTTCACGAATAGTGTCAGTAAATCGAAACGTTAAATTTGTTTTCCGAGTTCGAGAAAACAGTCCCCGTGTCTGATCTCTTCGTACACTTACGCATCTTGGGAAAAAGCCCGGTCTCGCAAATCACAGTGCTAGGAAACACCGTAATCTCCGTAGAGGTATTCGTTCAGATACTGGCCAAAGGAAAACAATAATAACCGCAGTGCATCCCTTATCCGTACCCTGTAACCGATAGTACACATAACGCGTGAAAAAAAAAAAAAAAAATACAAATCAAAATATATTTCGGTGTTCACTCGACTAGCATATACTATACGCGTTAATAATAATAATATTTTAGTGAAAAGTTTTTTTTTTATAATGTTAAGTAATACATATCATTACGTTTAAACGCATAACGGTTAGACCATTATGTATCCAAATTTATTTATATATCATATAATTATGTATACTATAATATAAACATATTATACCCACTTAGCATAAATACATTGTGCGGTCTAATATTTTAGTCTATTACGTTTAATATACTGTTTGGCAATATTTAATCGTTTTCTTTTTTCCTCCTACCGCCGCGGGAGACTTTTGCGATCACCTGTGTTTTACGTAAAAGCCTAAAAGGAAAATGGAAACAGTGCCGGGCATTCAAAACGATGCGATTTATCGTGTTCGATCGTGTACATTAATTGTATTTTTGTGTACGCAACGAAATACCCTCGTAACGATGATGGCTGGATGGCACGGAGACGCAGTGGCGAGTACGATTTACCGACCGCGCGCATAATTCGGCACTTAACCGTTAAACGGTTTTACCGCGTATTCGACAAACCTTGAGATTCTTCGTCGGTTATTTTTGCCCTTTGCTCCGTGCGGATTAATGAACAACGTTTCTACGTATTGTAATGCACTCCCGGCCCGGTGGTAATGACTGCAGACGTGCACCGAAACCCGCGGTAACGGTTACCCGTTACATCGAAATCCTCTTATCACACCGTTATCTCTTCGTCGTGCAACGGACATTATTTGATGTTCGTAAAAAATATATGTTTTCGCCGTCGCGCGTACCGTCGTCGAACGGATATTCGCATGGCACGTCCAGTTTGAGTAGCCAACACGTTGGGCTTATACCGCGTATATTGCCGTATCGCTACGGATCACTCGAACAGCAGTGCTGCGCTATCGAATGGCGGTGGTCGGCTGAATTGCAAAAAATCGCAAACGACCACAGTTTGCGCCGTTTCAAAATAGTCGCTGAAGACTGAACCAAAAGAACACTCTTATCGTACAGGTGTTAACTAGAACATATTTCAATAATACCATATGTTAGTTATCTCATATAGTTTTTATAGTTTACAATGTTAAAAATTGAACTACAAAACGTTTAAAGCGTGTACGTTATAACTTTACTTTAAATATCTGACAGCAGTGGTATTATTTTCGGAGGGGTTCCTGGGTTTAGAGCCCTTTAGAAAAAAAAAAAAAGCTTCAAAAGTCATAAATAACTATGATAGGTATGTAAGTACACAGAAAAATAACATTAATTTATATCATATGGTTGTAAATAACCCTTCATTTGTATTTATAATAATAATAGAAAATTATAATTAACAAATCATATTTTATGTGTAATTTTAATAGTCTAAAATCTTTTATTTTAAGTTTATATTATAATAAGTATTACTATAGGAAGTTAATAAAAACTTAGAATTAAAATTGAATATTCTCGTAAATTGTTTAATTACAAATTGTTTGAGTAACTAAAAGGTTATTACATTTGGTGATAAGTCCGAATTCGATTCGACATAGGCAGGAAGCCAACTTCAGGTACATGAGCTTGGCATACATTTAAAAGTTTTACAATAATAAAACTGAAAAAAAAATTAAATCGAGAAACAACACGATTCGAACATCATGACAAAATAACAATTATTCTCAATTTTTATCATAACCGTAGTTTTATTTTTTTAATATCACAAAGCAATTATAATTAACAATGTCTATATAAAAAAAAAACGTAGGGTAGTAGAAGTAAAGAAAATATTAAAAAAAAACTCCACGTTTAAGAAAAAGTGAAAATTAATTATTTAATATAAAAAATAAGGTAAAAACTCGGTAATACTGTAAATTATATTGTAATATTATTAATATATAACACAATATGTAATATTGTAGTAAAAAATTAGCATCTTAAAATTAAAGGTTTATAGATTTAGAGGAAAAAACCCTGTGAAGAAAAAAAAACCAAAAAATGACAAATCATTAAATAATAATTTATTTACTAAAACATATTGACATCATAAAAATATAAGATTTCTACACAGAAAAAAGGTTATGTAGTAAAAATTATGAAAATATAAAAAAAAAGAGAAAACTTGGTAGTTTAAAAAAATAAATATATTATAACTAAAGAGCGGATTTAATTGATATTGCTACTTTTTATTGATACCCAGTAAATCAAGTCTGATCAAATATTCATACGAATCAGATTAATTACAGTCTTCCTATTTAATTTAATAATGTAATTTTTTGCAATTTTGAACGATTTTGCAACTTTTTGCAATTATTGCAATTTTTGTATACTTCACGTGATAATTATACAAATTATTATTTCCAAAGTGATTTTACAAAAAAAATATAACTACGACGTAAATTTTTACATGTAATTAAATGTAGTTTAGGATTTTTAAAATTATATTTATCTGGGTTATCCACAAAACTCACAAGAAGTTTAGAAGAATAAAATAGTCAATTACTTAATAGTTTAAACATATTTAGTATAAATACTATAAATACTAAACAAATATTAAATAAATATACTCAGTATAAATACTTCTATAAATATTCCCAGTCCTAATGGAAAAATAGTTAAAGATAAATTAAAATATGTCTTAGAAAGAAATGAAGGATATATAACTATTAAAACTTACTCTGAGGTTATGGCAAGAAATCAAAATGTTTATTTAGATATAACACCCAATTTTTAAACTATTTTAAATATGTATCGATAACAAGTGTCAACGTTGAACGTACTTTTTCATTATAAAAACATATTTTAAGTAACAGACGGTACAATTTTCAAGAACACAATTTATGATGTATATAATTATAAATTTGAATTCAAAAAAATGATATATTTTGTAAATATTATATAAATGACCATAATATTATTTAAGTAAGTAATTAATGATTATATATTTGATATGATTTTACTATGTAATTTTAATGCATTTCATTGCAATTTCAACATATTTATACTACAATTTCGATACATCTTTAATGCAATTTTAAGATATTTTTTCATGCAATTATATCAAGTCTTTAATTATAACAATGGCAAAAAAGAAGAAAAACCCTATGAGGGGAAAAAACCAAAAAAATTGACAAACTAAATAAGGTAGTTGAAAAAAGTAGTTCCATGCAAAAAAAGGTATAAAAATATATATAAAAAATATATAAAAATGTACAAAAAGTATAAAAATGTAAATAATACTGTAAAAAATGTATAAAAATGTATAAAATGAGAACGTTCTGGATCGCGATGTCTTCCATTTACTGCCGATTAAACATGCGATTACGCATATGGTCTCTGTGGCGTTACTACCGACGTCGGATTTAATTGCACTTCGGAGACGGTCGGTTCGATCGCTCCCTCGCCCACGCTCAACCTCTCCAGGTAGAGAACAGCGTTTGAGGAGTTCTTCCACCCCTCAACGCTGACGTGTTCGATCTCCACG